ACATTATTGGTTTGATTATTTGACACGTCATCTTCGTCACAAATTAAGATTTTTAAACCTTTTCGGTTAGTGACACGGGAGATAGCAACATATAATTGACAATGACTGAATACTGGTTTCTTAAGAAATAAGCCAACATGAGATAAGGATTGTCCATGACTCTTGTTTATAATCATGGCGTAAGAAACCATAATGGGAAACTGTCGCCGCTGGAACTTGAAAGGTATTCTAACATCAGAAGGAGTTATGACCATTCTTGGAATCAACACCTTATCACCAGCATGATCTCCTGTGAGTATCTTACACTCAAGAACGTGAGTGGATAGCTTTGTCATAACAATTGTATCTCACTACAAAAACCCATAGAATGATCCATGTTCCGCAACAACATGACTGGAGTTCCAATCTTCAAATACAACTCATGGTTCGGTATTCCGGAACACTTGATACTATTCAAAAACTCAGACGTATGTAGATAAGACAAAAAATAATTATTATAATCCGATTTGCATGTACTGTCAGAGCTCAAGTCCATACGACCATCCAACAAATTCAATGATGTCATGTACTCATTGATAGACTCGACCACATCCAATGTCGGCGCTAATATAGCCCTATTCTTCAAATAACTTGGATCGTCGGGTGCCTCTTTATACATTAGATATGTGCTTTCAACAATCTGAGCAATAGGATCATCAGATGGCTGAAGCAAAATGTCCTCAGGTATGTCTATAGCTGCACATCCATCATTCGACCCCCGATAGTTCCATCTCCGATGTTAGCTATCCAATCTGCAAACCGTGCAAGCTCATAACGTTCATCCGAATTAACACGTCCCTAAAGGCGCATGTTTTTCGTAAGCCTAAGCACAATACAACTTCTCCATATGTCAAAAGCATTAATGACAGCATTGACTATGTCCTGACGGCTACCCTTTGGAATGACAGGAAGGATTTATCGAAAATCTCCACAAAAAACAATCGGCCTCCCAGCAAACGGTTTGTTCAAGTTCAAAGGATCAATTGCTCCCATAATACCCTGCAGCGATGTCTGTACAGCTTCGAAACAATGCTTGTGCATCATTGGTGCTTCATCCCATATTATTAGAGAAGCACGAATTTTCAATTCGGCTAGAGGGCTTGACTGATTGATGTTGCAAGTAGATTCCTGGTGGGGATTCAATGCTATAGCAAATCGAGAATGCGTTGTTCATCCACCTGGCAACAAAAGCGATGCCTTTGGATCTCAAACCAGCAGATAAAGTCTGTCTTCCCAGTTCCACCATAACCATATACAAAAAAGGGCCCTCCTTGGCCGGATTCAACAACGGACATAATTCTTGAGTAGACACTCCTCTGTTCGGCTGTCATTTTCTTAAGAAGCATATCGTGTTCAACAGCGAGGGCCTTTCGATCATAATTCAATTCATCCAAAATTAGACGATTCGAACTTGAATTGATGTTCTCCCTATCCAGAAATGGCATAGTTGAGTATTCACGAAAACTTGACCCACGTCGTCTCAATAAATTCTCAAACTCAGCAAGGGCCAGGTTCTTGATTTGTTCTTCAGTGAGCATCAAACCTATAAACCAATTATTTGTCACAACCAATCGATGCATTTAAATTTTGAAAAGTTGCACACAAATTTTCCTAAATAATTGGATAAAGTGACTTTAAATATCAAAGATGAACCGCTTTTGTTACCAAAAAATGTGGGCACAATTTTGAATGTACATCCCATCCAAATATTAGTTTTTTTTTAAAAATAAAAATTGCACGTGGTTTTAACCAATTTACACACTTTTTTGAAAAAAAAAATTATTCAATAAGATTGGAATAATTGGTTAGAAATTATACAACTATTTGTTTCGTAAATTTGTATCCAATTTGCACGGTTTTTAAATTGATTTGTATTTAGAATTGTTTTCATAAATAATTTTTTTTTTGCTTAAGAATCTCTAAATTTGTTACAAAAAAAGATATGATTTAAATTTTGGTAATAAAATAAAATATGATACGAAAAAAATGAGATTCAAATTTTGCCATAAGAATCTCCAAATTTGTTACCAAAAAAATAGGATTCAGATTTTAATCTAAAGATTTACATGTGTTTTTTCAAAATTTCCATTAATAGTAAGTCAAACATTATATTTATTTGGTCAAACTTTATATTATTTTATTTTCCCAACAACCTCTTTATATATATGTAGATTTCATCTATTAATTCCCAGATTCTTCTTTATTATCTCATTCTCTTTCATCTTTAAGTTTTTTCTATAAAATTAAGCCATAAACAAATATTAATATAATTAAAAAACCCACTAATAATTATCAGCTAACAATCATACACATATTAATATAATTAAAAAACCCACTAATAATTATCAGCTAACAATCATACACGGACTAAAATACCTATGCGAACGACAACCTAAATTAAACATAGCTCTAAGAAAAAATAAACTAACAAAATAAAAGTTCGCCCATTGGCATTGCCCTTAACTAGAAAATCACAACATTAAGAAAATACCTAAAATGTAAAATCTATCTATCTATATATAATAAGAATTACCATTTACCAAAAATAGTAGCAAAAAAATAGGTCAGAATTTAATGCAGCCTATATATAGTAAGTTTTATTACTTTTCTTATTTTTTCTTTAAAAATCATATAACATTAAATGCTACTTCAAATGTTGAACTTTAGTTCATTTTATTATTTAAAAAACCCAGCTAAGATTTATTAAGTGTGTTTGTTTTTATTTTTATTTTTTTCTTAAAAACAACGAACGATATTAAAATCTCGGTCTCTATATTTATAAAATCTCAATTCAAAATGTAATAAAAATTTTAGAATCTCGGTCTTTATATTTGCCGTTAAAAAAAATATTGAACACTAAAAATATTCTTTAAATTGCATAATCAATCAATTAATCTTAATTTTTTAAAAATTACTATGTTTATTTTTTATTAATATGCATAAAGTAAAAATAATTAAATCATCTTTAGAGATATAATTTATAATATAATATACTATCATTTGGTGTAGATATTTATTATATGAATCATAAAATATTTTTATTTCATAAAATTAAATATATTTAAAGAAAATAAGAAAAATTCTTCGATTAAATCGGGTAATTGAATTAGGGTACTGCCCAGGTTGATTGAATTACTTTTAGATGATATTTAAAATAGTCAAAAATTTTGACACAACTTGGTTGGTCCAGGTGATTAAGTTATGTATCAGTTCGACCACATCAAATCGATTATTAAACCTAAATATAAATTTTATATTGAAAATATGTTATTACATGAATGTGATGTAGTCCAAACTTCAAATAATCGCATTAACAATACTTTATGAAAACATGTTTAATAATTTATGAATATTTATATATCATTTTATTAATATTTATGTGAATTAAATAATATTTTATTATAATATTTATTAATAGAGTAAATATAAGGTTTTCAGAACTGGATCGTCATCGAAACGATCAAGCTATTTTATTAAATAATTTGTGGTTTGTTCAAATTTTAATTTATAAACATTTTAATATATATATATATATATAGTATTTTTTGTAATAAATTTAAATAAAATGTGTTACTTAGATATCTAAACAATTTATAAATTCAAATGTTTAAACTAATTGATAAATAATTTATAAATCTCTATTTTATTTAAATATGTAATTTTATTTAAAATAATTTTAAATATAAAAAAAATTATTTAGATATTCGTATTGATCCTACCAGTCCATGGTGTTGACGGATTCGAGAGTAAATATTTTATTCAAGAGAACTAGACTGGTTATAAATCGGTTCTCGGTCCATCCGGTCGGA